GGAAGCCTGCTTCTCCCTCTCCCACTCCCCCTGCTTGTGTTCCCTCTCTCGCTGTGTCTCTCTCTGTCAAATAAATAAATAAAATCTTTTAAAAAAAAAATGGATGCATTTTAAGAATGTGTGTATGCATGCATGCATGTGCATATATGTATATAATGCAAGCAGGGTTAACATTTCATTTTGTAGGCTTATATCTGCAGCTTTATTACTCTAGAAGGGAAGAGCAGTGTCTTATTTCCCCATGATGTCAGACTGCAGATAGAAAAAGGTTAACAAATATTTTGGCAGGTTTTTCTACTTCCTATCCTAAAAAAAAAAAAAAATCTGGTAGAACTTTTTATCAGGATGCCTAAACATAACCAGGATTATAATATATCACTTTTTGGTCTGATATACACATAAAAGAATATATAAAGAAACACCTTCCTGTGATTTGGTAATGTCTCACTAATCTTTTGCTGTTATTAAGCACTGCCTAATCTAATCCTGTTTCTGATCTTAAGCTTGTGTTCTCCTAACTCACCTTGTAACCAGGAGTCAAAGTCTTCCAGGTCAGCGTTAAGGTAAAAGCTCTTCAAAGTGGTTTATCCCTCAGATGCCGGCAGCTTTTTCCCTGGGACTCAGTCTGTCTATTGACCCTACTGGGGTGATCTGGTCGATGACAGGTGTAGATCCTTGATTTCTTTCTCGTGTTGTTTTGTGGCAAGGGGTAGAACTGAAAAAGAGAGATTACACTCATAATAGTACAACTCCACAGAACTTTCATGAGCTTCTCAGGGGACTGCGGATGACCAATCAGAAAATTCCTTCCAATATACCTTTTGAGGAGAAAGTTCATAAGGGATGGTGTCTCAGATTTTTACCTCCTTTGCCCAGTTTTATGGAATCTCAAAGATGTAGCCACTGTCCTCGTCAGCCATCAGGTATCATGCTGAGCATAACATTCACACATTCATAATTATAACATTCATAATTGACATCTTACCCAGAGTCTGGAGTAGGAAAACTCTCAATTTATATAGCAAATATTTTCTAAAAGCGGATAAAGCAGATTTTCCAGAAACATGTTTAATCCTCCAATTAAATGTAAACTTTAGAATGTATGTATGTATTTAAGTAGGCCCACACCCAGCACAGAGCCTAATGCAGGGCTTGAACTCACGACCATGAGCTTGAGACCTGAGCCAAGATCAAGAGTCAGATGCTTAACCGACTGAGCCACCCAGGTGTCCCTAAATCTTAGTTTTTAAAACCAGTAGGTATGAAGTGGTTTCACCACCTAAGCATATAAATGTACTATCACTGTGCCCTGATAAAGACTCATTAATAGTCTGTAATTTGCCATACAGAGTACATCGGCCAAACTCCTAGAACAATCCTCTAGCAGAAAGAGCTGACTATACTATCGAAGAATACAGTTTGCAACTTGGCATTATTTCTCAGAAGGCAAAGAATATTTTATGAGAAGATAAACTATGTCCACTTTAAACCTGGAGGAGGAGGAGGAGGAGAGAAGAAGAGAAGAGAAGGAAGAGAAAGAAAGACAAACCAGATAAGTACTCCAAAGTAGAAGCTAAATGATTTACTCTGATCCTGAAATGTGACAGCAGTTGTTTCCTTCAAGCCATAAACCTCTCTAGCAGGTTCATTTATTCACAAGGTAGCTTTAAAAATTACTCCCCAGATTGGATGATTTTTCAAGCCTCTTTTTTCACTTGGTTTTAGTTTTTCTCTTTTTATTTATGGAAAAGTAAAAAAAAATTAATGCACACACACATATTCTGAAAGATGATGACTTCATAGAAGAACAAAAGATTGACGTCTGCTCAGGATCCTATGCTGTGATTGCTCCTGTAAGTACCATTTTTCTGGGAAAAAGGGGGGGCTGTTTTAAACCCCCCTACACCTCTACAAAAAATGGTTTTTTAAAATCTCTACTATGTTGTAAGACAATTCCATGCATCTTATAGGTCCTAAATAAAATTTAACTGATGACTGTGATGACGACCTAGAACTAAAGTCAGGGTGCATCAAGATTATTTTTGTAGGCTCAGCATGATACCTGTTTATTTTCTGCCAACACCACTCAATCCTGCTCTTTAATCCCACATGATTATAGGCAGACTGAATATGGTCAGCTGCAGGAAATTCCCTCCCCACTCTTCTTTGCTCTTTTCTATGATGGACTCTGCAAGCTTTGGAAAAGGAGAGAACACTGAAAAAGGAAAAGAAAGAAGAAAAGTATGGCAAAGGGCCCCCTGTGCTACGCTGCGGGTTCTTTTCGCCCGCGCCCATTCCTCTTCCCTAGTCTAACTCACCATAACTTTTTAACCATCCTGAAAGGGCAAGTGGGAATAAAAGAGAACAGATATCCGTGGGGGTAAAATCATGGTTTCCTCTCTGTTTCCCCCAGTCCAGCCCCAGAGGAGGGGAAGAAGGCAGGTGAATTTTGCTTGCCATACCTAAGGAATTTCCAGATTGTGCGGTGTTTTGTGGCCAGCCTATGCAAATCAGACCCTGGCCCAAGGAGCTTTTTTCCACTTCATTCATCTCTTTTCCCTTTGCCTATACGTCCTTCAAAACCTAGCTCAAAATCACAACCCCCAATACCTTCACTGATCTTCTCTGCTAGAAAGAAGCAATCTATCGCACCTGATACTTTGGTCAATTCGACTGATATATACAACTGTCTTGGTCTTATCGCTTGCTTCCACCTCTTATCTCCCCTATCAGACTGCATTGAGTCTGAGAAGCAAGGACTGGACCTTAGTTCCCTGCACACAGTAAGTGTGAGTTAAAAAGTGAAACTTACAACACTTCTATTTATATGTATATACTTCGTAAGAAATTAGTCTATTGTTCTTTTGCACAAAAGTATGTATTTTCACACAGTGTGTATGCAATGTCACAGAATAAAGGTTTTGGCTTGTTCTGAGACTATAATGAATGTTCATACGGACATTCTGTGCAACCTTCAAAAAGCCAGCAACCACAATCAAGTGTAGTGCCTTCTATAACCTTCAGGGGAGGGAGGCTGATCACTCTGATTAAAAATTAGCACTCTATCAATATGTGGTTCAGATATAATCAATCATCCCTGGTAGTTACTGAAGCCAGAAATATTAGGCATAATTATTTTAGTTCAGCTTCAAAAACTTGATTAGGACAGAAAGATTTATATCATCACATTCAAATTCCAAATTTGCAGGTGGCTAATATATTGTTTTATTCAAAAACCAAGAAGTTTAACCAAGTGACAACAAAACTTCATTTAATTAAGAAACTGTACAGGGTTTTTTCCCTTACACATAAACCGTGTGCAGGGCAGAAGTCCAAAGGTATCAAGCTTATAAAGTTCAAGTCTGATTACTCCTTGTGACAAAACATATCGAAGATTAATTCTTAAAGCTCTTGTTAAAAATACACTCAGAGAAGGGAAGAGTTGTTTCTTTTTAAAACTATGACCAAAATTAATGCTTTTTTTTTTTTTTAAAAAGTAAACCACTTTTTATCAAAACACATGAAAGGAATCATGTTCTAATTTAACGATACATTCTGCAGACCAAAAAGCCTCCCCAACACATTCCACCTAAGCAATTAATAAATTAGAAACTGTAAAGGTTGGAAAGGCTGATTCAAACAAAGTCTTCTATACCAACGAGTACGCGGGTAGGAGTCTTTGCAGAATCTCATCAGGGAGTTTAGTGATTTGGCAAAGGTTCCTTCTGAATGGCTCATTCAGGAAGCAAATGATCCATTATCTTTGCAACAGAATTTTTCCTGTAAGTTGTGTGACTAATCCTCCCACGGTCTGAATTTTGCCCACTATACACCATGTTCTTGTCCAGCACAGTCCCCACACATTCCACTCATTTCTTATTCAGGTCCTCAGAGCATATGATGTGTTCTACCAAACACTAGACTGTCTCGTGTAGCTACTAAGTTAATGCATAGAATGCAAAATGGAAACAAGATAAAGCGAGCTCCATCATTCTGTAACATATTAAAGATTCTTAGAATAGTAAAAACAGAAAGACCAGCAGAAGAGTATTTACACAAAGTTAGCAGCCTACATAGCAAAGTCCATTTCACAACAAAAATAAGAGATGAGACATTTTTGACTATTTTCTGTACATTAGGTGGCCCACTGTGCTGACTCAATGCCCACATCATTTTCACAAAGACTGGTCTTTATTTAAGGTTAAACATCTTAAATTGCTTTCCCAGAAAACTATAGCCTAAGACCTTTTCTCATTATCTTGTTTACTTTGTCTACTGTCTCCATTAAATATCTTAGTAAAAAGATTTTGCTATTTTGTTTTTTTTCACTGGCAACAAGGTTTAGACAAGAAACTGATTTTCCTCTTCTTACCTGTGATAATCCCAAATACAATGAGGATTTCTACACTGTGTCTAAAGCCCTGGAGAATAGATTTAGTGCTACAACCCAACAGTCTATGAAAACAGGCTGTTCCGGAGGTAACTTCCTAACGATGAAAAACACGATATGTAGGCACTTTCACCCAGCAACTACTGTGGTTTTCCTGTCAATAACTGAAGAGCTGATTTTTATCTTGGAAATTTATCTAATCTCATTAGTGCTACCATATATCAAATAAGTTAAAATTCACCAACTGATACAACAGAACAGAGTTTTCACATCTGCCATTAAGCACTGATTAATTTATCCACTCATCACTAAATCAATTGTGCAGCTATTATATGCAAACACTAAAACCAGACACTAAAGAAATATAGAAATGTAACAAACAATCAACAAAAACAAAGCCCTTCCCTTAAGAAATTTAGAGTTTAGGGGCCCCTGGCTGGCTCAGTTGGAAGAGCATGTGACTCTTGATCTCAGGGTCATGAGTTCGAGCCCCATGTGGGGTGTAGAGATTACTTAAATAAATAAAACTTAAAAAAAAAAAAGAAGAAGAAATTTAGAGCTTAGCCATAGATAACAGGATACAGTATGTGAATAATCTTTTTAAGTTACAAAAGCAGAAAATATATTACGGATATTCATGGCATGAAAATATTCATTCTAGCTTAGAATTTCTGAGGCAGGTGGAAAGCGATGGGGGGAAATTGCTCAAAAGAGGAGGCAGCTGAAAGATTAGTAGATTCAGGCAAGAAATGGACACAAGCAGAGATGGATAAAGGACATTTCAAACAGTGAGGAAAAGTGTATGAAAATCAACAGATGAGAAAGCATAGACTGTAGTCCCAGTACTTGAGTCTAGGGTACAAAAAAAAAAAAAAAGGAGGAGGGTGGGGCGGAAGAAAGAGAGGAGGTATGGAACATCTAAGATCTTCCACGAAGGCTTCTGTGGAAGGTCTTAAATGCTAGTAAAGGACTAGATTTCACTAGGTGGGCTGTAGAGAACAGGAGTTCAGTTCAGAGCAGCAGAATCATGTGATTATGCATCAATGGAGCCAATGCAGGAGAACAAATTTGAGGAAAGAGAACCCAGAGGCAAGAGAGGACCTCAGAAGACATTTAGCAGCCCCAAAAGGAAGGCAGAGCTACCTGGGAGAGTGGGCATCCAGGAGAGACACATGAGGAACTTATATTTGATAGAGCAAAATGTGATCCTATTTGGCATCACATATTTCTTGTCTTGGCAAAATAATGGGAAATAAAGCATAACCATTTTTTCAGAAACATGACTGAAGAAGTAATATATGGTCAACATGTTAATAAACTGAAAT